GGGGCCTGGCACCACCGCTCTGGGGGCGGCTCTCGGGTCAGGGCTTTTCAGCCCGTTCCCCTTCGTCAGAGACATCACCTGCGGGAACACCCGGGGGTGGGTGAGGGTGTTTGAGGGGTCCTTCCCCAAAGGTCCTCGGAGGGAGCCGGGCCCCGTGGGCTGTGTGGCCGGGCAGAGATCCCGTGTCCCTGGGGAGGCCCTGGGCAGCTGGCAGGGGGCTGTGGGACAGCAGTGCTCGTACTGAGCCTCTCCAGGTGCCCGCAGGTGTGAAGGAGGACTCGTTCAACGTGCTGGACCTGGCAGAGTACACCAAGAACCGGCCCTGGTGGCGCAAGGTCTTTGCCCCCAGCTCCGGGTCAAGCGCTGAGAAATACAACGTGGCCACACAGCTGGTGATCGGAGGGGTCACGGGATGGTAAGATATGCTGGGGTTGCTGGTGCTGCTTGTGGCAGGGGGGGAGAAAAAACCCGCGGGCACTAGCCAGGCTTTTGGGAACACGCCGACATGCATGGGGTGGTCATCTGGCAGCCTTTTGGAGAAGACAGGTGTCCAGCTTGCCCAGCCCACTGTGCCCTGGCATCCTCTGCTGAACTGTGGGAGGTCTTAAAAGCTGTCTCTGATACAGAGCTGAAGAACTGAGACTTATCTCCTAGGGAAGAAAATGGCATCACATTTAATTTTGGAGGTGAGATAATTCTCTTTTAACTTCTGGCATAAAGTGGTGGTGCTGAATTTAGGACAGGCAAGTATGAGCTTCTCGGAACGAGGATATCTTCTCCTGTGAAAGTGGATGTGCTTCAGGCATCTGCACAAAATCTTTCTGTGGAGGTGGCTTACTGTGCCTGTGGGCATGATTCCTGGACTTTCGTGTTTTGTAGCAAGAGCTGGGACCGGTGACTCATGGCTCTGTTTGCAACTTCATTCCCACAGCAGCATTGTTTGAGTTGAAAACTTGGTGTAATCGCACTGCTTTGCTTCTTGCTGTGCCTGTCTGCTTCATCTGGCACAGGGGTAACGGTTTACAGGTGTATGGCAGATCTTAATTTTCTCATTAAAATACGAGCTGGCCACCTCTCTCTCGTATCTTCACTATGTGTACATATTCAGAAATGGGTCAGAGCAGGTTGCTGTGTTGTTTTGCAGCGTTGATAAGGAAACTGTGGTCAGAGTGAAGTCTGGTTTAGGTGATACAATACACTAGCTCTTTGCTACATGACTGAGCAATGGGGTGGCGCTTGCTTGAGTTCTGGTGGCTGCAGGGATGTCTGTTCATGTTGAGAGTGTGTAACCCAGTTTGGAGACGAGGAAAGCTTTAGATCACTGCTGTCTGCTTGTTTCAGCATTTTTCTCTTCTGAAAAATGAAAAGATAGCAGTTGTTTGGGCAACAAAGAAGCTTGCCTTGTGATCTACTCCCTGTGCTTTATCGTGGAGCAGCAGCAGATGTGCTGCCTAATTTCCCTTTGGACATGATACAAGTTTAAAAAACAAAACCAAACCGCTAAAATAATTTGGTGATTATGGTGAAATCACATGTTTCTGGTTACTCTTGGGAGAAGGTTGGCGTTGAAGAGCTAAGAATCGAAACGGCAAAAGGCTGAAATGTGACAGTGAGAAGTAAAAAGCTTTAAAGCAACACTTTTGGCTGGGTGCAAATCTTTCCCTCTCTCAGCATGTGGGTTTCTTTTGCCATTTGTCAGGCTGTCTCCAAGTCTTGGGTAGTCGCTGCCAAAGGCAGCCTTGCCTGCGGGAAGCACGCTGAGGAGTGTGTGTTTGGTGTTTCGTTCTCCTGACTGGATCCTGGTTCATTTGTAGGTGTACCGGATTCATCTTCCAGAAAGTCGGAAAGCTGGCAGCGACAGCAGTGGGAGGTGGCTTTTTCCTCCTTCAGGTGTGTATGAGCAGTGGGCCGGGCTTTCCAAGAACCATGGGGACGAAGGGCTGTTTAGAGATCACTGCCTGGCTTCCAAGAACCCTGGCACTGAGGGGAGCTGCTTGGATGTGGACATGCAGCTCGTATGTCCTGCAGGAGGCAGAACCGCTC